AGGCCGCCCTTCCGTGGCGGCGCGGCGGCGCCTGCCCCCCCAGCCGTGGGCCCCGGGAGCCACGGCCAGGCTCGGAGCGGGGTCAGGGTGCTGCAAGCGCTGCGATCGCTTGTGCTGCTCCCTCCCATCCCCTGCCGAGCCCGGTTCTGCCCGGCGCCGGCCCGAGCCCAGCGGTGCCCAGCCCTGCCCGCCAGCACGCGACGCCTCGTACCCTGGATGAGGCCGCTGGCGGCCCCGGGGATGCCCTCGACCTCGGTCACGTTGTTGTGGGTGAAGTAGTCGTCGCAGGTGGCGTTGAGGAAGCATCGCTTGTGCTGCTCCCTCCCATCCCCTGCCGAGCCCGGTTCTGCCCGGCGCCGGCCCGAGCCCAGCGGTGCCCAGCCCTGCCCGCCAGCACGCGACGCCTCGTACCCTGGATGAGGCCGCTGGCGGCCCCGGGGATGCCCTCGACCTCGGTCACGTTGTTGTGGGTGAAGTAGTCGTCGCAGGTGGCGTTGAGGAAGCGGGAGGTGCAGAACAGCTCCCAGAGCTTGGAGCCCACGGTCTCGTTGCCCTCCACCACCAGCTTGACACACGTGTCGAACCCGTGGCGCGACAGCGTCCGGTTGCCCAGCAGGCAGATCCTAGCGGGAGGGGAGCTGGAGGTGAGCGTCTTGGGCCTGCCCCCCACGCCAGCCCTGGTCCCGTGCCCGGCCCCCTGGCAGCCCCAAGCCCCATCCCACCCCTGCGCAACCGCCATCGGGGCAGGCGCCGCGGTGCTCACGGGAAGCTGGGCGGGTCGAAGGCGGACTTGATGACGCCGGCGTAGATGGCGAGGATGGAGAGGATGACGCAGCCCAGGAAGACCAGGGCGAACTTGTTGACATACTTGACGCCAACGAAGACGACGGTGGCCATGCACGTGAGCACGCAGGTGCCGTAGACGCGCATGTTGTTGAGCATGGCTGCCGCCTCCCCGCTGGCATCCTCCCCCTTGAAGATGGCCATGGCCGGGAAGATGTAGGCCTGGCAGGGCATCGCGGAGAGCGTCAGAGCCTGGCCTCACCCCGGTGCCCCACCGCGCACCCCCGCTGCCTGGGAACGTGCCCACCCGGCAGGGCAGGGCAGGGCAGGGCAGGGAGCTGCTTCCCGGGCCCCGCCTGGCAGGGCAAGACCCCAGCCCCAGGCCGGGCGGGGGGCCACGAGCCCGACTCACCAGCAGGATCTCGATGGTGCCCAGGATGTACATGGCCCCAGCGAAGGTGGTGCCCAGGTAGAAGCACAGCCCCACGGCCCCGCCGAACTCGGGGCCCAGGGAGCGCGAGATCATGTAGTAGGAGCCGCCCGCTGCCGGGGACAGCACAGGTGACCCCTCTGCCCTGCCCGCCACCCACGGCCCCTCGCACGGCCCTGCACCAGGGCACGGCCAAGGCACTGGGCACAGGCCCCAAGCCCCCTCCACCCTGGGTCGAGTCGTGGGGTGCAGGGACGGGGGCAGGGGCACAGCCCTCCACGCTCCAGCAGCGCGTGGGTCCCTGGGGGTCCCGGCTGCAGCCATCCCCAGAGGAGCTGAGCTCCCAGCTGCAGCCGCCAAGCAGCCTCTGCAGAGCTGACGGACCAGGCGCTCCCGAGCCGGGCAGCAGCTGGGCGAGAGGGCGGCAGGGGACGCGTCCCAGCAAACCGAGGCAGGCTCCAGGGCCTTGGGGACGCCCGGCAGGCCGTACCCTGCCCCCAGCCTCCCAGAGGAGCCCTTAGCGCTGGCAGCAGGATCAATGGGCCGGCCGCGTGGCAGGGTGATAAATGGCATTAATTACACCCGCGAGCGCAGGGCTGTCAGAGCGCAGCCGGAGCCGTGGCCGCC